CAGCGGCCCCGCTCCCCGCGCCGCCCACCGCGCCCTGAGCGCCCCTCCTCCGCTTCCCCCGGGTCCCCCTCTCCAGGCAGGAAGATGTCCAAGCCCCGCGCGGTGGAGGCGGCGGCGGCGGCGGCGGCGGTGGCAGCGACGGCCCCGGGCCCGGAGATGGTGGAGCGGAGGGGCCCGGGGAGGCCCCGCACCGACGGGGTAAGCAGGCACCCTCCCCGCACTCAGCGGCGTGCCGGCCGGGCCCGGCCGCAAGCACGTGGGCGCAGCCAGGCCCCCGCCCGCGCTGCCCCGGGGGACCGGCCCCTGGGCAGCTTCCTCCGCTGCAGCCTAGCTGGGAGTGGCGGCACGCTCCGCCATGACCCTGGCAGTGTCCGACCTCGGAAAGTTTGGCCTTATGGCGTTTCCACTCCCTCCCGAGACCGAGCGTCCCAGGAGGTGGCCGCCTTCCCAGGGTGCGGGGGGCCTGCCCGGGCCCCTCAGAGTTACTGGTTGTCTGATTTGATGTTAGTGGCTCACCAGGCAGCCAGGCCATGCACTGTTTCTGTGTGTGGTCACTGGGAGGAGAGGCCCCATACCCAGAGACAACCGCACAGCAGTGACCTGTACCGACACCCCCAACCCCCACTCCGGGCCTGCCCACTGTAGCCAAGGTGCGGTTTGCAGTGAAGTGACCGCCCTAAATGCGCTGGCCGCCAGCTTGTGCGCTCATTGGCCTCACCCATCACCCAGAGAGAAGTACTCCAGCCACATTCTAGGAGGCGCTGAGCTGCAGTGGCTTTAGAGGGGCCACGTCTGGCGCAGAAGGTTCAGGCTGTACTACAAGCTCTCCCAGCTGGCCACAGCACCAAGTGGTTAATCAGGTTCCCTGAGGCCTGTTTGCTATGCTAGTGGCTGACTCCCCAGCCTGGGGAGTTAACTTCTGACTCAGCCTAGCCCTTTAGATCTGCAGTCGGTTTTCCCTGGGTCATTCCAACCTTCCTGCTGCTGGTAGGTTAGTTCCTTCCTTAAACGGACTGGACCTCCATGTACCAGCTTATCCTCTGCTGGTGAGCCTTGCCCTTAGTGACCAGAATTAGAGAACACATGTTCAGAAACCTTTGGCTTGGGCCTAGGGGCTTCGAAATCTGCCAGAGCTCTCCTGAGAGAGCTGGGGCTGGCATTTCTTGGTCACCCTGTCATGGAGAAATGATATTGTCTATCTTTTGTGTTTACCCTTATTCACTTAAACATTATAGGGTGATCTTCATTTTCAAACCTCTTTCAGAATATGTGTTTGTCTTTCTAGGAGAACGTGTTTGCCGGGCAGTCAAAGATCTATACCTACATGAGCCCGAACAAATGCTCTGGAATGCGTTCCCCCCTTCAGGAAGAGAACTCAGTTGCCCATCATGAAGTCAAATGCCAGGGGAAGCCATTAGCTGGAATCTACAGGAAGCGAGAAGGTAAGCTCTGGAACAACCCCTTTCTGATCTCAGCTGTTCAGGCTGTAGGAGCCCCTCTTCTCTGTAAGGACACGTGTATGTTACATATCTAGCCCATCTTTCTAGTGCCAAGTTTGGTCAGCCATGTTCCTTCTCCCTGATAAGAAACAAATACAGATGGAAAGTTGTGTCAGGGTGTGTGTGTGTGTCCTGTGGCCTGACAGGTTCTCCCTGCTTTCACAAGAGTTAGCATGTCCTTCAGGTGTGTCTTGCCACGTTGCAAAAATAACACACCGACCTGCAATTCAGGAGGCTTATGATTGCTAAAAATGCAGAAATAAGTGAGTCTAGGTTGTACAGATCAGGCACTTGCTTACAGTGTTAGGTGAACGTAGGCGATTGACTCCCTTCCCTTGCATAGCAGGCCCTGACCCCATTTCTAATTTCTTTCCATTCAGGTATTCCGTGTTACTTTCCAAAGCAGTATTCCTTGTATGTGAAATTTGGACTTAAAAATATTGAATGATGGCCGGGCATGGTGGCGCACGCCTTTAATCCCAGTATTCTGGAGGCAGAGACAGGCAGATCTCTGTGAGTTCAAGGCCAACCTGGTCTACATAATGAGTTCCAGGACAGCTGGGGCTACAGGGAGACCCTGTCTCAAAAAGACCGAAAAAAAAAAAATATTGAATGAGGGCTGGGGGTATAGCTCAGTGGTAGCATGCCTATCTAGCATGTATGAGATCCTAGATTTGATCTCTAGCACTTAAAAAACATAGGGCTGGGGATATAGTATATAATACCTGCTCAACATGTATGAGGCCCTAGGCTCAATTCCTAGCACCACAAGAAAAAAAATCCCATTTGGCCCTTGTAAACAAGGTGAACCCTCTAAAAATATTGTTTTCATCTACGTATTCTGTATTAAAGGCTTTAATGAGGAGTTTAAGGCTCCCATCCATGGACCTCCTACAACTCACCCTTTCTAGTTGAATCTTGCCAGACCAAGCAGAGCCCCTGGCTACCAGCAGCTCCCCAGGAGAAAGTCATGTGCTCACTGACAGGGTCTAAAGTTATACAGCCTGACCTAAGAGGCCACATCTGAGAACCAAGGCCAGGAAAGCCCTGTGCCAGGGGCAAGAGCCTACCCTCAGCTTGATTTCTCAGTCTTAGGCACAAGGGATGTTATTTGAGTTTGTCTCAAAATAACTTAGGTTCTAATCCTAACTGCCAGTTGAGAGGAGGAGGTTTGCACAAGTTGAAGCTTTTTTTTGTGAGCCTCAGTTGTCTGATCTGTCAGTTGGGAGAAAAAAGAATCTTGTCTCTCAAGTAAGGCTATTGATAAGTTACAGTGTGGGTACAAAGGACCTGAGATGTAGAGGCTGCCAGCTCTTCCCCACTGCCAGCACCACCTCCTTCTGCATCCTTGTACCTGCAACCATTAGGAGAGCACTTACCACCCAGGTTTGGGGAAAGGGCTTTGTCACATCCCTTCCAAAATGGGCAAAATTAATGTTGTCCAAATGCTGATAAGGGGCTAACAAGCTAGTGTAATTGGTTCCTGGTACTGCTAAATGGCATGATGAGAATTTGGGATCACATGTACCTTGGAGTTACTACGGTCTAGGTTTACTCTGAGGGTTCTACCTGCATCCTAAGAAGGCACACAAGGGAGTGAGGTTGCTATGGCTAGATTGTGAGGTTTTTGGGGGGGCGGGGGTGCTTGTTTTTCCGTTTTTTTGAGACAGGGTCTCCCTATAGCCCCAGCTGGGCTGGAACTCACTATGTAGACCAGGCTGGCCTCAAACTCACAGAGATCCACCTGCCCCTGCTTGCCTCTGGGACTAAAAGCATGTGCTACCACACCCAGCACCTTTTTTTTTTAAAGTGCTGGGATCTGAACACAGGTCCTCATGCTTATGTGGCAGTCACTTTACTGACTGATCTCTACCCCTATCCCTGGGTGCTTTTGATGTATTTCCTTTTCTTCTTTGTTTATGGAACTGTAATTTAGGTATCATAAAGTTTATTTACTTATTTTATGAGGATAGGGATGGAAACCAAAGACTGGTAAGTGCTCTACCACTGGCCTACATCCCAACCCAAGTGTATTTTGTTTGTTTTTCTTTATTTTATTTTATTTTATTTTATTTATTTTATGTGTATGCGTGTATTCCCTGCATGTAGGTAAGTGCACCTGTGTCCAGCAATGCTGGTGGAGGTCAGAAGAGGCTGTTGGATCCCCTGGGACTGGAGTTACAGACAGTTGTTACCTGCCATGTGGGTGCTGGGATTCAAACCCGGGTCTTCTGCAAGAATAATCAGTGTTCTTAACTGCTGAGCCATCTCTCCAGCCCCTCGTTTTTGTTTTCAAGATCTCATGTAGCCTAGGCTGGCCTCAAATTCCATATGTAGAGGCTGCCAGCTCTTCCCCACTGCTGAGGATGGGGTTGAATTTATCTTCCTACTGCCACCTCCCGAGTGCTGGGATTACAGGCATGAGCCACCGTGCCCAATATTATGCAGTGCTGGGGTTGGAACCCAGGGCTTCATGCATGTCAGGAAGCTAAGCTACCAACTAAGCTATGTGACCAGCTCTACAGTGTTCAGTTTAGTGGGTTTTAGTATATCTGAAGAGTTGTACAATCACCACCTCTAATTCCAGAACATTTTCATTACCCCAGAGGAACCCTGTTCATTGGGGCTCACTTTGCATTCTCTGTCCCCACCCAGCTCCAGGCAGCCATTAAAGTACTTTCTGTATCTGTAGCTTTGCCTGTTGTAGACATTTCATGCAAGTGAAATCATAGACTATGTGGCCCTTTGTGTCTGTCCTCTTTCACTCAGCATGATATTTTCAAGACTTATCCCAGTTGTAGCACATGTCAGCATTTTGTGCCTTTTTATGGCTGAATCAATCATTTTCTGTGTGTGGATGGACCACATTTTGCCTAACCATCCATTGATGGATGTTTGCATTGTTTGCCTTTTTGGCTATTATGCATAAGCTGCCACACCACATTCACATACAGATTATTGTGTGGACATGTGTTTCTAATTCTTTTGAGTAAATGCCTAACTGTGTAATTGCTGGGTCAGATGGTAATTCTGTGTTTAGCTTTTTGAGGGAACTGCCAAACTGTTTTCCAAAATGGCTGTGCCATTTTATATCCTACCAGTAGTGTATTAGTTATTTTTTAAAAGTAAATCATTAATTTTTTTTTTTTCTGAGACGGTCTCCCTGTAGCCCCAGCTGTCCTGGAACTCACTATGTAGACCAGGCTGGCCTTGAACTCACAGAGATCCGCCTGCCTCTGCCTCCCAAGTGCTGGGATTAAAGGTGTGCGCCACCACACCGGGCTAATCATTAAGTTTTTGAAAAAGGCATTGTTCACCAGTGCTGTCCCTGCAGTAAGGCCATTTGCAGAGTGCCTTATGACAGGATGCATGCCAGTCTGCCCAGGTACTGTCCCGAGAACAGCTGGTAGCACAGGGCTTCAACCTTGTTGGAAGGGGAGTGGTTTGTTTGACTTAGAATCTGAAGTGAACTTTGCCAGACATCTAGTGGGAAGAGTTTGGACTTTGTCTCCTCACTCCACCTACCAACTCCCTTTACTCCGCCCACCACTGCTAGCCCTTGCTTTGGGAATTGAGCTTATTTTCTTGGGTCTGCAGCCCAGCGTCTGAAAGCTGCTGACTGAGCACTCATGCCAGCATTAACATACACAATACTTCACCTCACCTCACAGACTGTCTCCCACAACTGGCCACAAAAGACTAAGTTCTCTGTCTGCTGTGTTGGTCAAAGAGTAGAGATAGGCACCTCTACCCTGATAGTGTCAGTGGACACAGGCTCAGTAGTCTCCTACTTCCTAACACTCCCATGATGAACTTTTCTTAGCCTATCTTAGAATGCAGTTTATGTGTAGAAACTGGGAGCTAGTGTCTAGAGTAAACCCCTGTGCATTCCCACCTCCTGCTGCAGAGAAAAGAAATGCTGGGAATGTGATCCGAAGCACCATGAAATCTGAGGAACAGAAGATCAAAGATACCAGAAGAGGTCCCCTGGCACCTTTTCCAAACCAAAAATCCGAAGCAGCAGAACTTCTAAAAACTCCACCCCCGTCCTGTGATTCTACCAATACAGTGGTCGCCAAGCAAGCCCTGAAAAAGCCCCTTAAGGGCAAGCAGGCTCCTCGGAAAAAGTAAGTCCCCTGGAGCCTCCCCCCCCCGCCCTGTCCCAACACAGAACATTCGATTCCTGGGCTCAAGCATGCTCTGGTCCCAATGGGGTTAAGTAGTATACCCTTCTCAGCCTCCTTCCTCTGAGTCATCACACTCCCTGTTTGGTTGTTTTGTCAGTGTCTCTGTGTGGCAGGGTCCAGAAGTTAAGGCCTCCTTAGAGAGAAGAGTGAGCAATTATCCTTGAAACTGCCTCCCTCTCCCAGGGTGTGTGAACAGATAGATGTGCAGTCAGGTCCCAGTGGGCAGTGGTGTTTAGGGACATGTTTACAGAGAGCCACCTCCTGAGCCTGAGGAGCTATGTAACTCCTGGGTCTAAGCAGGGCTTCAGTTCTCAAGTATTTCTCCTCTCCCCCTCTTACCCAGAGCTCAAGGAAAAACGCAACAGAATCGCAAACTTACAGATTTCTACCCGGTCCGAAGGAGCTCCAGGAAGAGCAAAGCTGAGCTTCAGGTAGAGTCCCATTCAGCCCCAGCTCTGGGAGGAGCAGGGTGACCCTGGGCTGTGCTTAGCTTGATGTATTCTCTTGAGGCTGGTCTCTTGGCCTCTGGCTTTGATTTTCTTGATCTAGCAGGGATCATCCCAGAGCTTGCTCTGACTTCCTGGTGCTTCATGAAGCTTGATTAAAACTCTGTGGAGGAGCCTTGTAGCTCATGGCATGGAAGGCCTGGTGCCATTGTGAGGTTGGCTTTCCCAAGATGTGTTGGCAGGGCCATTTGGACCCTGGGATCATGGAGAAGTCTGCCTGGTCTTTTAGAAGCTTCTCTTATCTGCAATCTGGAAGTTTCCATATTCCAACTCAGGGTTGTAGAGAGCAGTGTCACTTGTAAGCACTTGCTGGGTGTTGAGCTCGAGCCAGCCATTTACCCTCAGTGTGCCTGCACTCTGCAAAATAAGAAGGTCAGCTGGACATGGTGGCCAGACCTTTGAATCTCGGCTCTTGGGAGGCAGAGGCAGACAGATCCCTGTAAAATCAAGGTCAGCCTGGTCTACATGGTGAGTTCCAGGCCTTCTGGGGCTACAGGGACAAAAGACCCTTCCACGCTCCACCTCCACCCCCCCAAAAAATAGGAAGGATAAAAGGTAGGAATGGAGATGTATACCTATAATCCTAGCATTCAGGGATAGAGGTAGGAGGACTGATTTAAGTTTGAAACCAGCCTGGTCTATATAGCAAGTTTTAGGCCAGCCAAGGGTAGATAATAAGACTGCCAAAAAAAATCGCCCAAAACAAATGAGAAGGTAAAGTAGTTGTTGGTGGGATCATTGTGGAGATTAAAGAAATGGATTCATGCTGAGCATGGTGGTGCATGTAATCATAGCACTCAGGAAGCCGAGGGATCTCAAGTTTGAGACCAACCTAGGCTACATAGTAAGACCCTGTCCTTATTTACAAAAATGACTTCGTGGCCCTAGGGATGTAGCTCAGTTGGTAGAGTACTTGCCTATTATGCACAAAGCCCTGGGTTCCATATAAACGGGGCATGATGGCTCATGTGTATAATCCTAGTGCTCAGGAGGTGGCAGAAAGACCAGGAGTTCAAAGCCAAGTTCTACTACATAGGGAGTTTGAGGCTAGCCTGAGCTACATGAGACCCTGACTCATGGGTGTGGTGGTGCACGCCTTTAATCACAACACTTGGGAGACAGGGGCAGGAGGATCTCTATGAGATCAAGGCCAGCCTGGTCTAGGTAGTGAGTTCCAGGCCAGCTGGGGCTACAGAGAAATACTTTCTCAAAAAGCAAAATAAAAAAACAACAAAAAGTCTTTGTGCCATAATGCCATAGAAATGCAAATGGCAGTTAACTACTGTGGTCCCCATTGTTTCCCAAGGTGGTCCCTTCTCTCAGGTAACTTGTCTGGGAGTATCAGACCTAAGTGGATTACTCAGGTAGGAAGGCGGCTAGCCTATGTGGCCCCACAACCATGTGTGCAATGCCCAACTGGGCAACAGTCTGTCAATATTTCGCGCAGTGGGTTATGGTTTTTGCCTGTCCTGAAACTCCGTGATGTGGTCAGACGCCTCATTCCTACTCTGAAGTCAAGGCCACGCCCTCTGTATCTCTTCTTGACCCTGGGGACTCCAGAATACCTCCTCACAGAAAGAATGGGACTAGCCTGGGCATTTTTAGCACCTCAACTGTCGCAGAGACTCCCCCAGTACTGTTAATGTCAACCAGAGACTCCTTCCAGCACTGTTAATGGTAGCCATGCATATGGAGCTATAGAGCTCTAGTATGCTCTTATTTTCTTTGAAAATGGCTTTATTTTAAAAAACAAGCCCCAAAGAGGGTCTATTTCCGTCCATTTCCCCAGCAGCTTTGTCTTTATTTCTGCTGAAAGGCAGTTTCTTTGGACCAAGAATGAGTTGTTAATAAATGTTGCCATCGGGCAGTGGGAGGCTGTGCTAGGTCACTCTCAAAGGCAGCACTGCAGAGGGGAGGTGGTGCCAGGCCACAAAATGGCCACAGAATCGGGGACTTTTCCCAGCCAGGCTGGAGCTGTGGTAGGTGGCACAGGGAGCTCTGGGGGCTGCCTTGGTAATGACAAGCCAGGCTTTTGTGCCTGGAGGAGGGAAGGCTACAGAGGGACATGGCTGACTGCAGGTCAGCTACCTCCTGCAGCAGACAAACCTGAGGAAGTCACTGGCTTTTCTGAAGCTTGGGCTATAGACAGAGGAAGCAAGTGTTAACAAGAACCAGGCTGTGCCTCTTGCTATTGGTGTTGGCTCTGCTGAGAGTACTGTGCGCCTGCTGCTGACTGGGGCAGAAAATGACAACTGCCCAGGATGATATGGGTGTGGTTGTTGCTGACTGGCCAGAGTAATGTGGCAGGGTATGTGCTCTCTTGACTGCAGAGAAAGCTTGAGGGTGCAGCATCTGGGCTTGTCTGAAGGCTGAGGTTCCACCTGACCTGACTACCCTCTGGGCTAGGCCAGGAGCTGAATAGGTGGGCTGAGGGTGACTTGTTGGCCAAGTGGCCAAGAATGAAACTGAAATAGCAAGTGCTAGGGCAGGCATCTCACTGAGCCGCAAGACTGGGCAGGGCTGGTTCCAGAGTCCAGGACAGGAAGGAGGAGTTTGAGTCCAGGGCCATGGGCTGGGCTATTGAGAGATGTCTCTGACCCCATGGCCCTACACTGAGGCATCACTTGGCTGCTTGGCTTGCCCATGGGCAGCCACCTTGGGGCAGGAACTACAGCTGTTGGCAGTACCCTGACTTCTCATCCCCAACCCAGCCACAGAGCCCAACATGTGGAAGGACTTCTGATTCTGCCTTGGGAGGGAATTGTCACCTCCTTCTCTCCCACTTCATTCAGGCCTTGCCTACCCCCACTCTTCCATTTGCCTTCTGGCCTGCTACCTAAATTGTTCTTAGGAAGCCCAGAACTGGCTAGGAGGCCTCAAACTCTTGGCTTCCAAAACAGACTCCAACTCACTGGCTATGTGTGCAGGGTGTCCAGTCTGGCCCAGCTCTCCTTAGCTTGTCTCCTTCTAGCCATGTTCAGTCTCAGCAAGAAAATTCCCAGGGACCCACCTCAGTTATCCCACACCTCCTCTAGTTCACTCTCTTTATAACTACACACTGAGAATGATTAACTGCAACAAGGTGTGTGCCGCTTTGGAGGTTATTCTGTGTGTGCTTCTGTACTCCCTAGAATTTTCTATAGTGAACAAGCTCAAGTTCCTCAAGCCCTGAAGTCTGTATTTAAGCCGGGTGTGATTAACAATTTTAAAAGACAGCCTAGCTAAACTAGGTGGGTGGCACATGCGTTTAATCCCAGCACTCAGGAGGCAGAGGCAGTGGATCTCTGTGAGTTCAAGGCCAATCTGGTCTGCATAGTGTGTTCCAGGCCATCTGGGGCTGCAGGGAAGACCCTGTTTCAAAGACCAAAAAAAAAAAGACAGCTAGGGCTGGAGCTGAGTGGTAGAGCCCTGTTCTATATGCAGGGGGCCGGGGGTGGACGGTGTCAAGTCAGAGAAAGCAAACTGACTTTGGCCTGCATATGGTCATTAGTGAGATGGAGTACTTTGGTAGAGTGGTAAGCCTAAGGCTCCTTTGAGCTCAGGAGTCTGTTTCTCTAAGAATGTTGCTTGATGGAACCCTGGAAGAAAGGAGGAAGAAAACAGGCAGATGAATTAAGGGAAAGGCTACTCTAGACAGGAGGGACTAGGGCACAAAGGCCCAGAGGCAGGAGTAGGCTTGGCCATTTGGAAGGGCCAGCTGTGCAGCTGGGGGAGTGGAGACAAGGGTGAGGGCAGGGAGGTGATGGCTCACGCCTCTAATCCCAGCATTATGGAAGCAAAAGTAGGTGGATTTCAGTGAGTTTGAGCCCCACTGGTCTACATAACGAGTTTCAGGGCTTTATCTCAAAAGAAAGTCTAGATTTTCTGTTAGTAACTATAAAAAGTTTTTATTGTGGTTTTTTGAGACAGGGTCTCACTAGCTCTGGCTGGCCTAGAACTTGGTCCTCCTGCTACAACCTCCCATAGGATTATAGGAGTGCACCATCACCCACCCTTGAAGTTTATTAAAAGGAAAACAAAGATTTCTAATAACTTTCCACAAGCCCAGCATGGTGGTCCACACCTTTAGATTCAGCAGTTGGGAGGCAGAGGCAGGCAGATGACTGTGAGTTCCAGGCCAGCCAGAGCTATGTAGTGAGACCTTGTCTCCAATTTCCAGTAATAATTTTTTTATTAATTATTTCCAATAATATTATAAATTCATAAACAAGAAAACTTAAATTTTTGTATTTTTTATTTTATATATGAGTGTATTGTCTGCATGCATGTAAGTGTGCCTGTGTTGGGCATTGCCCACAGAGGTCAGAAGAGGGTGCCAGATCCCTTAGAACTGGAGTTAGGGATAGTTGTTAGCTATCATGTGGGTGACCAGGTCCTCTGTAAGAACAGCCAGTTAAGAGTGCTCTTAACTGCTGAACCATCTCTCCAGCCTCCAAACTTTAAATTTTTAGTAATTTTTGATTCATAGAAGAATTACAAAAATAATACAGATAGTTCCCACAGACCTACCACAAAGCCTGTTAACATCTTGAGTCACCCTGGTAAATTTATTGCAGCCAGGGAAGCAGCAGCAGTGTTTACTGTTAGGTAAACATATTGAAATGATGTAAATGATGACCTCATTTACATTTTCCAAAGACCTCTGGCTTGCTGGGTAAAGAATGGAGGCAGCTGTCAGATATGGTTGGCTGGGGATAAAGTAGGATGAAGAGAAGGGGGCTGGGTTTAGAACTGTCCTGGAGGTATTAGAGACCTGGTCTCAGAGACTCACCATCTCTCGCACACATCCCAGGGCTTGTCTGTCACAAGGCACGTAGGTGTAGGCTCAATGACTGACCAGCTGTGAGCTGGATTCAGGGCTGTGTATCAAGGGTGTGAGCTGAGCAGTAGGAGAGACTCTCCAAAGATGCCATCTGTCCAGTAGGTGGAAGTCCATGCTGGTGACCCAAAATGACTTTGGGGCATCTGTTCTCTTTATAGCTCCCTCTTGTTTCCCTAGTCCTACATACGGTACCGAGAGGGAGGGACGGCCCTGTGGAAGAGGAAGACTAGAAGTGTTCAGCCTCTCTGTTTCTGGCTGAATTGGCCCTCCAGCTGGAAGGCCCTTTTCTGATCTGGGGCAATGGGTCCTGTACAGTTACAACTGAGAGATCTGAACGTAGGGTCTCGGCTAGGGGGAGGCAGTGTGTCCTGCTCACAGGGTGTAGCTTCTAATCCTTTGTTTTTGGTCTTTCTGAGACAGGGTCTCCCTGTAGCCCCAGCTGTCCTGGAACTCACTATGTAGACCAGGCTGGCCTTGAACTCACAGAAATCCGCCTGCCTCTGCCTCCCAAGTGCTGGGATTAAAGGCATGTGCCACCATGCCTGGCAGCTTCTAATCTTATTGATAAATTATATTTTGGAGGGGAGATGGTGCTGGGGGAGTAAACCCATATGCTGAGCAAGTACCATCTCTAGCCTGTCCTCCCTCCTTCTCTCCCTTTCTTCCTTCTTTCCTTCCCTCCCTCCCTCTCCTTCCTCTCCCTCCCTCCCTCTCTCCCTCCCTTCCTCTCTTTCCTCCCTCCCTCCCTTCCTTCTCTTTCAAGATAGGATCTCTCATTAAGTAGCCCTAGACAGGCCCTGAACTCACTGTGTAACACAGGTTGGCCTCAAACTTGTGGTCCTCCTGCCTCAGCCTCCTGAGTAGCTGGGGTTACAGGCCTCCCTCCCTCTCCTTCCTCTCCCTCCCTCCCTCTCTCCCTCCCTTCCTCTCTTTCCTCCCTCCCTCCCTTCCTTCTCTTTCAAGATAGGATCTCTCATTAAGTAGCCCTAGACAGGCCCTGAACTCACTGTGTAACACAGGTTGGCCTCAAACTTGTGGTCCTCCTGCCTCAGCCTCCTGAGTAGCTGGGGTTACAGGCATGTGCCACTATGCCCAGCTCATGAGTCATTTCATATAAAGTCAGAATCCTGATTTTACATATATTATTTATTTAGGGGAATGCATGTATGCCACAGTTCCCTTATGGTGGTCAGAGGACAACTTAAGGGAGTCAGTTCTCTTTTTGCACCATCTGGGTTCTGGGGATGGAACTCAGGTAGTAAGGCTTGGAAGCAATGTGCCACCACGCCTGGCTTATTTATTTTATTTTATGTGTAAGTGCACCCGTTGTGCAATGCCCGCAGAAGACAGAAGAGGCTGTCGGATCCCCTGGAACTGGAGTTATGGACAGCTGTTAGTTGCCATGTGGGTGCTGAGATTCGAACCCGGGTCTTCTACAAGAACAGTCAGTGTTCTTAACTGCCGAGCCATCTCTCCAGCCCCTATTTATTTTTTTAAATGCTACAAAGGGCAAACAGCGTATTTTAAGGCTCTATAGCAAATGCCTGAGATAACGAGCAAATGTTTATTCTTTGTTACTGTTTTAGAGGCGCCAGGCCATGGTCAGTTGCCCCCCATTGCTTTTGGCATGTGTAGAGGAGCATATGTTGGCAAAACCACTCACCTCATAATTGAGAAGTGAGAGAATAGGCTGGAGTCCCACTGTTGTTCCCTCCAGGGAACATCCCATGACCAGACCCACTAGGCCCCACCTCTTCACAGAGCCACTGTCTCCCAGCAGCATCACACTGGGGACCAAACCTTACAGGAACCTTCAGGGGCCACTTAAAATCCAGACTACTTAAGTGTGGGGCTACTCACCCATAATCCCAGTGCTCTGGTGGCTGGGGTAGTAGGGTAGTGGGATCATGAGTTCAAAGCCAGCTGGGGCTATAGAGTGAGGCCCTGACTCTAAAACTAGTCTGCCCTTGGACTGGCAGTATGTCCTTCTTATTGAACCCAGATGGCGGATTGCTCACCACAGATGAGTGACAAAGGGTTAGTGCTTGGGGCTTTGTTGTCACTGGGTACTAAGGTCACAGAGGACTGTGGCCCTGGGGCTGGCAGGAGTGAGCCTGACACTGCTCTTATCTTTTCACTCAGTCTGAAGAAAGGAAAAAAATAGACGAATTGATTGAGAGCGGAAAGGAAGAAGGCATGAAGGTAAGGGCAGCAGTGGCTGCTATGCAGTGGTGATGACACAGCTAAGTTGCCTTGATTTCTTATCGCCAAGTTGCACCCTGTTAGGTGTCAGAGAGCCAGAATCAAAACACTTGTTGAGGAAATGTGTCAGGAAGGGAGCACACAGACATCACCCTCTTTTAATTGTGGTGAAATATCCATGACATCTACCACTCAAAGCATACAGTGCAATGGCAATGACAGTTTGTTCATGCAAGATGTGGTCAGTCATCCATCCCTCTCTGATTCCAGAGCTAGTCACTTTCCTGAATGGAAACCTTGTACCTGTGAGCAGTCAGTCCCAGTTCCACCCTTCACCCCCAGCCCCTGGCAGTCACTAGTAGACAATCTTTCTGTGCATACACCTGTTCATTCATGTCAGTGGATTTGTGTTGTCACCTGGGTGTCTAGCTTCTTCATAATGTCCAAATGAACTTTTAAAAAAAGAGAAAGAGCTGGGTGTGGTGGCGCACGCCTTCAATCCCAGCACTCGGGAGGCAGGGGCAGGCGGATCCTTGTGAGTTCAAGGCCAGCCTGGTCTACATAGTGAGTTCAGGTCAGCTGGGACCACAGGGAGACCCTGTCTCAAAAAGACAAAAAAATAAAATAAAAAAGAAAGTACAGAGCCGGGTGTGGTGACATATGCCTTTAGTCCCAGCACTTGGGAGGCAGGTGGATTTCTGTGAGTTTGAGGCCAACCTGGTCTACATAGTGAGTTCCAGTCCAGCCGGGGCTATAGGGAGACCCTGTTTCAAAAAAGACAGAGAGAGAGAGAGAGAGAGAGAGAAAGTACAGTGGCCATTGCTACAAATGGGTTTAGGACAAGAGGGCTGGCACATAGCTCCATGGAAGAATGCCTGCCTAGCTTGAGCAAGGCCCCAAGTACAATCCCTAATATTCATCTCTAAAAAAGTGGGGGGGGGGGTCTTTGAGGCAGGGTCTCCCTGTAACCCTAGCTGGCCTGCCTCTGCCTCCCAAGTGCTGGGACTAAAGATGTGCACCACCACACCTAGCAGAAGCTTTTTGAACTGTTTTTCTACATGGCGAGATCAAAGATGTTCACTTATTTTTGTTTTTGGTTATGCTGGGGATTGAACCCCAGCCATGAGCATGTTAAATGTGCACAATCACTGAGCCATACCCAAACCCTCTCTTAGTATGTTTTTGTTTTATACTCTTGCAATTTGGATAAGAGGAGGGTACCTCTCTATTCCAGGGTATGGTAGCTAGATGGGTCTTGAACTAGACACCAAAGGTCAGAATGCTTCCTTTTTTACCTCCCAGCTGTGTGGCCTGGACACATGACTTCATCTCTCTAAACCTCAGTTTTTCATCTGGAAAAGGGCCATTGCCCACCTATCACATCTCTACTGAGGGCCTGACATGAAGAGTGGGGGGTGGGGGTTGGGGCACTGAAGCTGAACCAGACCATGGATATTTAGTAAAATGGGTTTTATTTTTATTGAGGCCCATCCAATAAAGCTAGTAAAGAATGTGGCCCAAGCCTGGTGGTGCCCATCATCTTTATGAACCAATACCCTCTCATCACCTCCTGACAGATTGACCTCATTGATGGCAAAGGCAGGGGTGTGATCGCCACCAAGCAGTTTTTCCGGGGAGACTTTGTGGTAGAATACCACGGGGACCTCATCGAGATCACCGATGCCAAGAAGCGGGAGGCTCTGTACGCACAGGACCCCTCCACGGGCTGCTACATGTACTATTTTCAGTATCTGAGCAAAACCTATTGGTGAGTGTGCTATGTGAGTGGCTTTTCCACTGGGGCTCCTGGGGCATTCCTGAGTCTCTGAGCATCAGCTTTTCTTTCTGAGTTTTTTGAGGCAGTCTCCTTACATGAGTCTCCCTACATAGCCCAGGCTGGCTTTGAACTCACCGTCCTCTTGCCTCAGCCTCCTGGGTGCTGTAATTCTAGGCATGAGCTACCATGTCCAACTAAATCAGCTTCTTGTTGAGCACAGGCTGTGTCAAGGCCCCTTCCACTTCTGTGGTTAGTATTTGGGATTAGAGCTATCCTCAGAAGCGGGAAGGGATTCACCCCCTGGAAACCTGCTTGGCAGTTCACAAGGCTTTTCCCTCCCTGGGGCATTTGGCTGGAGCAGTTCTGCAAACTGGTAATTGCTCTTTCCTGTCTGAGGCCAGGGGAGCTGATTTTTATCCATTTACGTATTTTTAAAAATCTCTACAGTGCCTCCCCTGCCTCCTTAGAGAGTCCTTTGGCTTCTGCCCCCAAGCCCAGGACCTCTCTGGGCTCTCCAGAGTGGCTTTTGTAATTAAACTGTCTTCCTCTAAACAACACCCCACCAGAATCGAGATGGAGCACGACCCCGGCTGGGTTAAAAGCCTCTTTATCAATATAATCCCCTCTCGCCCTCCCTCCACACCAGCGTGGATGCCACTCGAGAGACAAATCGCCTGGGGAGACTGATCAATCACAGCAAGTGTGGGAACTGCCAGACCAAACTGCACGACATCGATGGTGTGCCTCACCTCATCCTCATCGCATCCCGAGACATTGCAGCAGGCGAGGAGCTCCTGTATGACTATGGGGACCGCAGCAAGGCCTCCATTGAGGCCTACCCCTGGCTGAAGCATTGACCACCGCGTTGCCCTCCCCGTTACCTCCCCTCCTTCAAAGGACAAAGTGCCCTCAAAGGGAAATGATTTTTTTTTTTTACACTTAATCTTAGCAAATTACTTAAAATGTTTTTAAAAAGTATATTAAAGATGCCTTTTCACTGTAGTATTTAAATATCTGTTACAGGTTTCCAAGGTGGACTTGAACAGATGGCCTTATATTACCAAAACTTTTATATTCAAGTTGTTTTTGTACCTTTTTGCATACAAGCTGAACGTTTGTGCTTCCTGTGCAGTCAGAGACTGCACAGGTTTTAGAGGAAGGAGTCAAGCATGAACTAGGAAGCCGGGCGAGGCTCTGCCCCAAATTGAAAGCCAGGACTTCCCTGCACCCTATGTCCAAGGACAGGCAGGTGTGAGGGCTCTGCTGCCCCCCATGCACAGCCTGGACGGGACGTCTTCAAGCTCTTGTTGTCCCCAACGTCTCGACAGGCACACACATTGAAGTGTATGAATATTTTTTAAAAAAGGTTTCGCAGTAAGCTAGTCTTCCCCTCTGCTTTCTCCAAAGCTTACTGAGCCCAGAGGTCCAGGCTGGGAGCAGACCTCTTCCACAGGCTTACAGCTTTGCCAGGCACCTCGAAGCATCAGGGTGGGCAATCAGATTGAGGCGGGCGGGAAAAGCACTGTTGCCCTGCCCTCTTGGGGCAGGTTTCCTGAAACTGCGTTAATTCTTTATAGAAATGTGAACACTGAATTTATTTTAAAAAAATTAAAAAAATCAAAAAACATTTTAAAAAAAAATCAAAAAAGGAAAAAAAACCACAGAAAACAACTTATATGTATATAGGTCTTGAAGTGAGTGAAATGGCTGTGTTTTCTTTTTGAGATGCTTTTGTTTTTCTTTTTGTTTGGTTGGTTTTTGTAGAAAAGATTTGAGATGGTACTCTATTCTAATCAAAAGTAAAGTTTTGTAGTGGGACCAGAAATTACTAAGCCCAATTACCCCCTACACCCCAATTCTACTGCGTAGAAAGTTCTGGACCTGTTGTCAAGGCCTTCTGTTTGTTAGAACCCTTGGTGTCCTGGGACGATGCAGCCTGCCAGCCCAGGATCTCAGCCACCACTGGCAGCATCAGGCATCTGATGGGTATGGCACCAGGGGTACCTGTCAGCCAGCAAGGCCAAGTAGCCAAGAAACCAGGGTGAGACTCAAGTTTTTACCTGGAATGTGAGTAGGAGTTGGTGGCTTCCTCCCTTCCTAGGGAGAGCTGGTCCTCACTGGTCACCGTCAGTTCAGGGGCTGGGGCTCAGGAGCCAGGGAAATGTGAATGGTAACCTACCCTTGTCCCCAACACCCCCACCCTGCCCTTTAGCCTCATGATGGTGCTACCTAAGAAAGTCTTCCCCTGCACCCCTCACAAGCCTGGTCAGTGGTCTGAGACATAAAGGAGGATCCGACAGGAGGGGGAACTATGAGATGAAATGTCCTGGTTGTACCTGTTTGTGGTTTAGCTTTGTATTTAAATAGCAAACAAGGAAATAAACTTGAAAATTATTTGTCATCATCCTAAACAAAAATTAAAGTATTTATTGCCAGGCAAGGCCACCTATGTGTTGTTCTGTTTTTATAAGGTAGAGAGAGAAAAGTACAGTCTGGGCCAGTGAGATAGCTCAGCCAGTGAAGATGCTTGCCACCAAACCTGATGAACTGAGTTCAAATCCCAGGACCCACATGGTAGGTTGTTCTCTGACCTTCACACATGCTGTGGGATGTATGTGCTCACACAAATAAATGTAAAGAAAAGAAAATAGGGTCTGGCTTCATGCTATATTTACATTCCTAGATCTCTTGTTTTCTCACCCATATTATGTGTGGAGGAGGGCGGTTCAGAGGGTGTTTAATTCACAAGCGTGAATTAAAAGTAAATGTAGAGCCTAACACGTAAATACTTTGAAAGTTAGATGCTATAATTTCCATTGGCTTGTTTTGAGACATAAAATCGCATGTATCCCAGCCTGGCTTCAAACTTGCTGTGTGGCCAAGTATGACCTTGAACTTCTGATTCCTGCCTTCATCTCTCTAGTATTGGGATCACAATTGTACATCCCAACACTCAACTCCATAGTTATTTCCAATTCAGGAGACTTGATTCTCAGATGGCTCAGCATCAACTGATCTTCCCACATCCTGAACCTGTGCCTGTCACATGCCCTGCCAAGTTCATATATTCAGTCCCAGTACTTGAGGCCAATTTGAACTGTGGACGAAGTGTTTGGTTTAGAGATCCTGCATCAAACTTGTGTTTGTCAGCTATATATGACCTTGGATGGGTGTTCTAATTTGCTTTCTGTTGCTGTGACAAAACATTCTGACCAAAACCAACTTGGGGAGGAAAGAATTTATTTGATCTTAATGGATTACATTGCACCCTGAGGGAAGTCAGGGCAGGAACTTGAAGCAGAAACCATGGAGGAATGTTGCTTAGAGTCTTTCTGCCAAGCACACGACTACCCACAGTCGGCTGGGCACACCTGCATCAGTTAGCAATCAAGAAAATGGTCAATAGACAATGCCCACAGGCCAAAATGAGGGAGGAAATTCTTCAGTATCAGGTCACTTTTTCCCAAGTGTGTCAAGGTGACCAAGATAAACTATCACAAGGGGTTACTTGTCCCATTAGTATATCTGTCAAACAGGAACAGTCTGCCCGCCTACCTTCTAGGGGTATCCTGGGGACTTCGCTCTCAAGTATTGCAGCATTCTTCCTTGCAGAGGACTGTGCAGCCTAGTGGCCACGTGCCAGGCCTCTGGTTCCAATCTACTCAGCTGTGTAACCCAGGGCAGGCGCCTAACCTGTTCACAGTTCAGTTTCCTTGTGTCCAACACCAAGACAATAATTGTCCTATGGGCTGTTGTGAGGGTCTGAAACACTGATACCTAAAAAGCACTTGGACTAGTGCCTTCAACATAGTGATCAATGCTGGATAATATGAAGAGTAAAAATCAGAAGTTTTAAGTTATTCACTGTTCCCAAATGCTGAAGCTGATAGCTCGTAAGTGCTTCTGATATTTAATGCTTGGCACAGTGGTGCACACCTTTAGTCCCAGCACTCAGGAAGCAGAGACAGGCAGATCTCTGTGAGTTCAAGGCCAGCCTAGTCTACATAGTGAATTCCAGGCCAGCCAGGGCTACATAGTGAGACCCTGTCTCAAAAAAACAAACTTGTTAGGGCTGGAGAGATGGATTAGCAATTAAGAGCACTTGCTGCTCTTGCAGAGGATTCCAGTTCAATTCCCAGCACCTACATGGTAGCTAACAACTATAACTCAAATTCTAGGGGATCTGACACCCTCTCCTGAACTCAACAGAGATTGCACACACATGGTGCACATAGATACATGCAGACAAACATTCATACACATAAAATAGAAATCTTTAAAAAGTAGTCCTCAGGGCTGGAGAGATGGCTCAGCAGTGAAGAGCACTGACTGTTCTTGCAGAGGACCTGGGTTTTATTCCCAGCACCCACATGGCAGCTACGAACTGTCCTTAACTCCAGTTCCAGGGGAATCCAAAGCTTTCTTCTGACCTCCGCAGCATTGCATGACATGGGTGCACTCACATACATGCAGGCAGTACACTCGTACACATAAAAAAATAATATTTAAAAAAGAAAAAAAGTAGTCCTCATTGGGTGTGGTGACACACACCTTTAGTCCCAGCACTAGGGAAACAGGCAGATTTCTGTGAGTTCAAGGCCAAACACTTGAAAAAAAAAAAAAAGCAGTCTCATGGCTGGGTGTGGTGGTGAACACCTTTAATCTTTTTTTTTTGTTTTGGTCTTTTTGAGACAGGGTCTCCCTGTAGCCCCAGCTGGCCTGGAACTCACTATGTAGACAAGGCTGGCCTTGAACTCATGGAGATCCGCCTGCCTCTGCCTTCTGAGTGCTGGGATTAAAGGCTTGCGCCACCTTTAATCTTTTAATTCCAGCACTTGGGAGGCAGAGGCAGGCAGATCTCTTTGAGTTTGAGGCCAGCCTGGTTTACATAGCGAGTTCCAGGCCAGCTGGGGCTACAGGTCAAAAAGACCAAAAAAAAGTAATTGTCTGATCTCCATGCATGCTCATGCCCCCCAGAAACACTAAAAGAGAAAAGGAAGGTAGGAAGGAAGGATGGGAGGGACAGAGGGATGGAGGGAGAGAGGGTGAGAGGGAGAAAAGAAAACAAGCTGGGTGTAGTGGCTCACACCTGTAATCCCAGCACTTGTGAGGCTGAGGCAGGAGAATTTGAGGCCTGCTTAGGTTACTTGAATTCCAGGCCAGCCTGGGCTGCAGAGTGAGATCCTGTGGCAGAAACAAAACAAAAATAAAGACAAAAACCTTTCAAAATTTGATATTTAGTTGTTGTATTGATCAGTTGTTTTTTTTTTCTTTTCTTTCTTTTTTTTTTTTTTTTTTTTTTTTGAGACAGGGTCTCCATGTAGTCCCAGCTGACCTGAACTCACTATGTAGACCAGGCTGGCCTTGATCTCACAGAATGCTGCCTGCCTCCGACTGCTAGTGTTGGGGACCCCTGTTGTGTAAAGTAGAAGTCCCTTCATGTCCGGATAGCCCATGGGCTCGGCTTCAAATGCAGGGACTCCTTTTTCAACAGAGTGCTTTTCTGGCATCTTCCTGACTCGTCTTTTGAAGTGCCCGCCACAGATGCCCTACCATAAACATAGCCTCTGGCTTTGTTACTACCAGCCTTTCCTGTGTGATTTTCAGGCAGTCTGGCAGCATGGCAGGAGCCCACTTCCATATGTAAATAAGGGCATCCCACAAAGTACCTATCAGCTAAAGCTTTTACCACTGCCCCCACAGTATAAGTTTCCTGGTTTTCCCTCAGTAATTGAAGCTGGGTCACCAAGACTTGGAGCCGAGCAGAGTCACTGAATAAAGGCTGTACCACTGAGACTGAGCTGAGTCCTGTGTCTTACTGCCTACGATCCAGCCTTCCCGGAGAGAGCTGTCTCTTCGTAAGCCAACTCACGGACACCTAGCTTTAGCCACCCCACTCCTTCCCGCGTGATCCAGCGGCCGGTGGATTTCGCATCTTGAGGAAGTGCACGGGTGAAATTAGGGCGGAACCCGGCCGGGCAAGCCCCGGCAGCAGAGACCCACAGAGAAGCGGCGACAGCGACTCAGTGCGCGACCAGACCCGCCACTCCAGGATGCACGCAGGGGACCGGTGCCACAAGATCCCTGCGTGCCCCATATGCTAGGATTAAAAGTGTACACTGATTAGCTCATTTTAAGAGACTATTGCTACAGCAACTGCTGATGTTGCTTTCTGAGACCTAGCTTGAAATCTGACTTCTCATCCTGGACTTCCTAGACTATGCAGAGTTTGTAGTCAGAAGGCCAGTGTAGGAGAGGCTGACAGCAGCTCTGTCATGTGTGGCTACACCAGGGCTGTTCCTGGGAGAAGTGTTCCTAAGACTTATGCAAATGCTGCCTTCAAGCATTCCTTTTGTGAGTTGCTCAGGGCTCTCTCAACTTGAGCCATTTCTCTTACTCTGACTGTGCCCACAGGAAGGAAGCAGATGAGTAGACAAGATGACCCCAAGTTTGGAGTCACAGGTGATACACAGAAATGGCTGCTATCTTAAGTCTGTGTTATGGCCACTCTGTGTTCTGTAAATGGGAAAACTGGGTCAAGAATGGCTCAGTTTTAGAAACCATTGTTTTTTTTTCCTTTTTCCCATTTTTCATGTGTGTATATGTATATCTATGTATGTATCCTTTGCATACATGTGGGCAGATGTGTGCATTTCTGTGGAGGCCCAAAGTTGGTCATCTTCAATCAGTCTTCCACTTTATTCATTGAGGCAGGTTGCTCTGGTGAGCCCATCTGTTTTCCCAGGCCAGAATTACAGATGGACTGACATGCCCACCACACATTTATGTGGCTTTCTGAGGACCCAGCTCCAGTCCTCACACTTGCATGGCAAGCGTTCAGCCACTGAGCCAGCTCCTCAGCCCCTAGGACTCACCTTAGAGATGCCCCTGTCTGCAGCTTTGCCAGACAGGCACGTAGCAGCCCTGTCCTCCACTTGAATTCTCTTCTGGTCTTGCTTGCCTTGGTATAGCTTTGATGTCTACAAGTGGCACTGGAGTTGGGGTACATGGTGCTCACTTCCATGGTGCAAAAATTCTACCCTCACCCCCACTAAGAAACATTCTACAGGGTTCTAGGTCTCAGGAGCCCCTGATCAGACCCTGTTGGGATGATATTAAAGACTAGTATGATGGTTAGTTTTTGTCGATACAATTCTAGACATTCCTGGGATGAGGGACCCTCAATTGAGGAATTATCTTCACCAGAGTGACCTGTGGCCATGTGAGGTGTTTTCTTGATTTCTAATTTCTGTAGGAGGGCCCAGCTCACTGTGGGCAGTGCCATCCTGGGCAGGTATCCCTGGGATGTATGAGAAAGCTCCAGAGCACTCCATGGGAAGTAAACCAGGAAGCAGTGTTCCTCTATGGTCTCTGTTTCAGTTCCTGCCTTAGCTTCCCTCTATGGTGGACTATAGTCTGTAAGCTGAAACGAACCATTTTCTTCCCAAGTTGGTTTTGGTCAGTATTTTAGCACAGCAACAGAAAACAAATTAGGACAGAAGTGGGTACCAGGAAAGTGGGGTACTGCCTGAAAGATCTGACCATGTTGTTTTTTGGGATGATTGTGGAGGATTTTGGAGCTTTGTGCTGGAAAAGCCATTGAGTGGTTTAGAGATTAATGGGCTGTTGTGGGAACTGGGAAGGTAATACTGAGCCAGTGCAGAGGATAGAGGCATGGCTATCTTCAGAGGGAAGCAAAAACTACTGAGCCATTGTATGCTATTGCGAATTAAGAATAATCTGTGGTTTCCGGAGAGTGAAGAATAATTTGTGGTTTCTGGGACTGAAGAATCAGCTGTGATTAACAAGAGACCAGCATCAATGAAGTGAAATCTTTGCTTTCCTGAGACAATTTGATACTGGCTAGCTATGGCTGAAAGATGCAGAGTGATTAATGAGAGATCAGCATCATCGAGGCAAAATATTCTGGAAAGTATTTCCTCAGGGTAAGCACAAAGAAACTGTGCTAGCAGGGAGAAGGAGACAAAGGTTGCACACAACTTGCAGCAGAACTTGGCAAAGTTGATGAAGTTACAACCTCATTTGTAGTGGAGACCCCAGGATTAATGGGGTCATGGAGAGAGAAGCTGAGCCTTGGTACCATGAGAAGCCAGAAGGCCATTGGTGAAGGTATAGCCTTGGGTACAGTGGAGACCCCAGTATATTGAAGCTATCAGGACCATGGGATGACCACAAAAGACAGCAGCAGCTGTGGAATTGGGTTGGCCTGAGTCTAAGAGACAAGCTGCATATGTTGAGGATGGCAGAGCCAGAGAAGTGGGAATGCCAGAGTCCTTTGAAGCCCAGAAGATCATGAGTGAGTCCCAGATGCCAGACACTGAGCTTTTCACACTCTTGGATTATAGTTTTGCTTTGCTTTGATTGTAACTGTGTCCTAGTTCTTTTCTCTTGGAATAAGTAAGAAAGTACTTAAGATGGACATGGTAGCACAAGCCTTTAATCCTAGCACTCAGGAGGCAGAGGCAGGAAAATCTCTTTGAGCTTAAGGACAACCTAGTCTTGCTTAGTTGTGTCCAATTTTTCCCTGTTGAAATAAGACAGTACTTGTTTTGGATTTTACAGGAGCCCACAGTTGAGAGACTTTAGACTTTTTTTTTAATGTGTATGAGTGTATTGCCTGCATGTATGTGAGTGCAGCCCTGACTTTAGACTTTTAACACACTGAAATTTTAAAGCACTGGAAGGTTTTTTAAAAATATTTATTTTATTTTATGTGTATGAGTGTATTTGGGGCTGGAGAGATGGCTCAGTGGTTAAGAGCACTGACAGCTTTTGCAGAGAACCCGGGTTTGGTTCCTAGCACCCACATGGCGGCTACGAACTGTTCTTAACTCCAGTTCCAGGGGAATCCAAAGCTGCCTTTCTGACCTCCGCAGCATTGCATGATTCGGGTGCACTGGAAGTTTTTTAAGGCTGGGATTTTAAAAGTTGTACTGTGTTGGGTTTTGGGAAGTGGGATATTTTTTGTTTTGTTTGTTTTTTGTTTTCATTTCTGTTTTTTTTTGGGGGGGGTTGTTTTTTTGTTTTTTTTCTTTTTTGGTCTCTTTGGGACAGGGTCTCCCTGTAGCCCCAGCTGTCCTGGAACTCACTATGTAGACCAGGCTGGCCTTGAACTCACAGAGATCCACCTGCCTCTGCCTCCTGAGTGCTGGGATTAAAGGCATGTGCCACCACACCCACTTCATTTCTGTTCTTTGAGATATAGTCCCCTGTAGTCCCAGCTGGCCTGGAACTCACTATGTAGACCAGGCTGGTCTTGATCTCACAGAGATCCACCTGCCTCTGCCTCTAGTGTGCTGGGATTAAAGGTATGCATGACCATGCCTGGCTTGTACTGTGTTTTATATTATGATATGACATTAGATCTTGGGAACACACAAAAAAGTAATGATTATGATTTAAAGTGATAATGTTTGTATGTCAACAAGAAGTGGATTGTACTGGTTAGTTTTCCTTAACTTGAAATGAACCTAGACATATCTGGGAAGAAGGAACCTCAATTGAGAAATTTCTTCTATCAGACTGGATATGTCTATGAGGCATTTTCTTGACTGCTAATTGATATAGGAGGGCCCAGTCCACTGTGGGCAGTACCAGCCCTGAGCAGGTAGGCCTGGCCTGTATAAAGTAGTTGAGCAGGTCAAGGAAGCAAGCCAGTAAGCAGCATTCCAATCTCCAGGTTCCTGCCTTGAGCTCCTGCCCTGACTTCCCTCAGTGATGGACTATAACCTATAAGCCAATAAACCCTTTCTTCCCCAAGTTGCTTTTATCATGGTGCTTATCAAAGCAACAAGAAAACAAACTAGGACATCTAGATAGGCTCTCAAATACTATGGACCTTTTGTTACCTTTTGTGAGAGAAGCAGGTTAAAGCCTGGTTGTGGAATTTATGACTGGGATCAAATCCTGTTTCTATCATATACTTGCTGAGGATCCTTCACCCCACTAAGGTTTAACTTCCTGAGGTATATCCCAAGAATAATACTACCTACCTCACAGGAGTGCATAGAGATAATGTGGGTAAGACACCTACGGGTACCAGGCAAGGCACACAAGAAATTTGGATCGCAAATAGTACTTGTCAGTGATACTGGGTAAAGTTGGGCATGGTGGTATATGCCTTTAATTCCAGCACTTGGGAGGCTGAGGTAGGAAAATGCCTTGTGTTGGAGGCCAGCTTGAGCTAAACAGTGAGACCCTTTCTCCAAAAAAGGGGGGGAATGGCAGTAAATACACACCTTTAATCCTAGCACTCAGGTGGCAGAAGCAGGCAAATCTCTGTGAGATCAAGGTCAGCTTGGTGTACATAGTGAGTTTCAGGATATCTGGGGCTAGGGGGAGACCCTGTCTCGAAAAAAGGTAGAGAAGGCAGGGGGTTGGTGGCTGGCAAAATGGCTCAGTGGAAAAGGCACTTGCTTCTAAACCTAACAACCTGAGTTGGATCCTCAGGACTCACATGGTAGAAAAAGACAACCAACTCTTGCAACTTGTCCTCTGACCTCCATATACACACACAAAAATATCTCTAACCTGGTCAGCCACTTCTAGCCACATGTACTCAGATATAGCCCTTTAACCTTTCTCAGCCTCTTGATCTTCAGATTGTCAACTCAGGGATCAGAACTAGTTTTTCCTCTTGCATTGTTATAAGAAACAAGATAATCCATGGTGCAGTCAAAACATACCCAGGAAGCCTGTGTGAGAAACTAGGCCCTAGGAGGTATCTGCTCGACCCTTCGTATCTTTGCTAAGCTCAGCTGCTCATGATCACTCTACTATTGTGTTGCTTTGGTTCCTAACTACATTTCTTTATAAAAAACTGTTTTATTATTTTTATTTTATTTTACGTGTATGAGTGTATTGCCTGCCTATATAAATGCACCCGTGTTGTACAATGCCCGCGGAGGTTGGAAGAGGGAGTCAGGTCCCCTGGAACTAGAGTTATGGATGAGTGTTAGCCACTATGTCGTGCTAGGAATTGAACCCACCCAGGTCCTCTGCAAAAGCAGCTAGTGTTCTTCACCACTGAGCCATCTCTCCAGCCCCCTAACTATATTTCTTCACATCTTTTTATCTCAGGATGAGCTTTAAAACCAATAGCATCAGAGGCCAGTGAGATGCCTCAGTGGGTAAGGTCGCTTGCTGCCAAGTCTCATGACTTGAGTTTGATCCCTAGGACCCACAGGGCAGAAAGAGAGAACTGACTCCTGAAGCTTGTCCTCTGTCCTCCACACTTTTGCCATGGCACACATGCCCATAAATACACACACACACACACACACACACACACACACTAAATGTTAAAAAGCCAAAAATCTAATAGCATCTTATAATTTGCAGCAATTATCTTCTCTCATGCAACATAATGGTGCCTTACTTGAGTTCAATAAAATATATATGAGCCATATGCCCATATTCATACATACCATATATACAGTCCTGTCAGAGACCACTCTACAACAGTGATAGAAGCTATAAAAATCATTTTACTTTAATATAAAAATCATGTAAAGAGAGTTGTGTGAGAAAAATCAAATTTTCACCAAATATCAGTGAAGTCAATCTGTCTGCCACATGTTAAAGATTAAATTATCAGATGGTCATGGTGGTGTAGACCTTTAGTCAGGAGGCACTCAGGAGGCAGAGGCAGGATCTCTGTGACTTGGAGGCCAGTATGGTCTACATAGCAAGTTGCAGCACAGCCAGGGCTATATAGTGAGACTCTGTTTCAAATGAAACAAATCAAAACAAAATAAAACAAACAAGGCCAAATATCCAAAAGGCTAGAACAGACCTCTCCATGTGGTTGAGACAATAGATGGCCCTGCTGCTGTGTTTCTTCTTGTTTCTGGGTTTTGTGGTGTTGCTTTCCCTGCCCAGGCCAAACCTTTGTGGCTGTCCAGTTCTAAAGCCAGAGAGTAAGTGAGAACCTCTTCTTCCTTCTCAGACTGTTCTGAGGGGGAAACAAATGAGTGAGCACAGGGTAGACATGTGGCACAGAGAGATGGTTCCAGGAGGTATCTTGACAGCTGTTTTTTCAAGTTTTTTCACTGCCTTGGCCATTGCCTTCGATCTAGGTATGTTTTCCTGACCGGAAAGAGAACCTGGGTGGAGGAAGAGAGGGAGAATGAGCATGGTCTAGGCCACTCTTGCCGATGTAAACTCAAATACTCATCCAGAAGCTGGTGAGATGGCTCAGTGGGTAAAGGTGCTTGCCCCAAGCCTGATGACCTGAGTTCAATCCCTGGGACCCACATGATGGAAGGGACCCTCCAGGTGTCATCCACACAGGCTCTGTGGTGTGAGCACCACACCTCCACAAACAAAGTATTGGGCTAGAGAAATGGCTCAGCAGTTAAGAGCACTGACTGCTCTTACAGAGGACCTGGGTTTGATTCCCAGCACCCACATGGCAGCTAACAACCATCTGTAACTCCAGTTCTAGGTTATCCAGTGTCCTCTTCTGACCTCCAAGGGAATTGCATGATACGGATGCATTTACACACATGCAGGCAATGCACCCAAACATATAAAATAACCCTATGGAAAGCAGTGTGGAGAACTCTTAAAAAACTTAAAATGAACCTATGATATGACCTGGTTATACCATTCCTTGGCATATAACCAAATGACTCATCTATGGTTGCAGAGATACTTATACAACCTTGTTTGTTGCTGCTCTTTTCACAATAGATAAGAGATGGAAGCAACCTAAGTACCCCTCAACTGATGAGTGTATAACAAAAATGTGGTACATTTCCATAATCAAGTTCTACTCAGTGGTAAAGAAAGATGAAATAATGAAATTTGCAGGTAAATGGATGGAACTAGAAACTATTATACGAAGTGAAGTAACACAGACTCAGAAAAACAAACAACATATGTTCTCCCTCATTTGTGGATCCTAGTACCAAATTCTTATACGTGAGTATATATCCTGATGTAACTGCAGGAACCAGGAAAATGGAAAGTAACCAGGGAGGTAAAGGGAAAGAAGGAACCTAAGAGAAAAACAGTAGGAGACAGGTTAAGTTACTAAGGGAGAAATATGTAAAATAGGGGTAGTTAAATGGGAGGGACAGAAGGAGGGCTATACAATGAGCTATGAGAATAAAGGGGAAGAAGGAGCTCAAAAGAGGTGGGACCATAGCAGATAGGAATTATCAAGGAAGAAATGGGAAAAATGAGCATACTTTAAATGGGGAGGGTGTGGAGGGAGGGTTAGACAGGGAGAGAGAGGAGAATAATACCTAGCTAGTATAAAAAAAAGGGAATTGTATTAGTCCAAAAACCTACTGAAAAATTACATACAGTATCTCTACATGAGTCCATGTATATAGCTAAAGGGTACATAACAGGAAACAGTACCAGATAGGAGAAACTTTCCTTTGATTTGTTGGCCAGGGTAGTCCAAGAGACTCCCATAATTACACAGGCTACTGACACAGTCCTTGATTGCCTTCCAGAACTTGAAGGTAAGACCCTATTGCTAGAGACAGGACATACTTCAGACACAGGACTTGCAGCAACAGAGCTGGAATGGACCTGGAAGCCAACTCTCCTAAAGGCTAGCTCTCATAGATTTGGAGAGCACTGTGCAAGCTGGTAAGGGAGATAAATGATCCAACCCTAGCTTCAAGGCCTTAAAACCACATCAGTGACCAGCACAGCAAATAACATTTGTGCAGGAGTGGCACTTTTATCTTGGGGGTAATTGACAGCTACATAATTGGACTTAAAGCCCACTCAATGGGTAGAAACTCATGTTTGGTACTGTAAACCTAGCCAAAGACACAGATGGAGAGGTCATAGATTTTAGAGAAAACTGCAAGGCTCTCACATCCCTAGACGAAAATAATTTCTTACTATGTGCAAAATATGGATCCTTAAATATACAAACAAGTATCTCAGTCACCACCCCTCAAAGAAGCTTCTTTTTCAACAGAGATTATTACAGAGTTCTACAACTAGTCATACACAGAGATTGTCTGTGAATTGCCCAAGCCTAAGTGGCACATCTGTGATACAACCTCTATATCTGAGGCTCACAGGAGATAGAAGAAGGGACAGAGAACACCAATGCATCTTTCAATTCTTATCAATGAAGCTCCCTCATGCAACAGAGGGCCAGGAACACAAAAGGTCACGAATGGCCAGAATGTAGAGAATAAGTCTACAGAGCGTGGATCCTTGGACAGGATACCTGTCCAGGGCTCAGGGACCATTGTGGAAGTGGGGGCAGAAAGACTGTAAGAGCTAGGAAGGAGGTACATGACCACATGGAAATAGTCCTACAGGCAACTGGGACCCTTATCCATATGAACCAACAGCAATGGTGTCAGCATGCACAAGACCCATGCAAACTCAAGCAGACAAAAACCCAGCACAGAACTGTGGAAATGGACAGCAAGCCCCAATCTTAGTCAAAGAATTATTGGCAGCTGATTCCTACCAGGTGAGGAAGAGCTGATCTTCTTAAAGGGAGGAACTCTAGATAGGCTGATTAGACCTCACAGGATGAAGTTGCACTAAGGGACATCTGGGGACACTAACTTGATAAGACTTAACACAAATGAAAGAACGTATGAGTTCCAGTGGGAGGCTATGAGAAGGGACCACTGAGGAAGGGGGTATAAATATGATTAAGATTTAAAAATTTTTTTATTGTGTATGAGTGTATTGCCTGCATGTATGTGAGTGCACCCGTGTTGTGCAATGCCACAGAGGTCAGAAGAGGGCTTCAGATTCCCCTGGAACTGGAGTTAAGGACGGTTCATAGCTGCCATGTGGGTGCTGGGAATCGAACCTGGGTCCTCTGCAAGAACAGTCAGTGCTCTTAACCACTTAGCCATCTCTCCAGCCCCATGATTAAGATTTTTTTTGTGCCAGGTGTGGTGGCACACATATTTAATCCCAGCACTTGGGAGGCAGAGGCAGGCGGATCTCAGAGAGTTCCAGGTCAGCTGGGGCTACTGGGAGACCGTGTCTCAAAAAGACAAAAACAAAAAACAAAACAAAAAAAAAAACTTTTTCTAGAAACAAACAAGAATTCAATAAAAAAATTAAAAATTAAAAAAATAAAATAAAGCCAGGCTTGGTGGCACACACTTTTAGTCCCAACACTTGGGAGGTAGAGGCAGGTGGATCTCTTTGAGTTCAAGACTAGCCTGATCTACATATTGAGTTCCAGGCCAGCTGGGGCTACAGGACGACCCAGTCTCAAAAAATAAGAGCAAAAATAAATTAATTAATTAATTTAAAAAAATGCTGACTTGTGTCTAAACTGTGACCCAGGACATCTATGAATATACCCCCCAAAAGAAAATCTTAAGAAGGAGTTACATAGGGTAATGGTTATGGAGGGTACAGTCCATGGTTGCTTACACTCATCCATTTGGCCATATATATTCATTCACATAGACACATACACAGAAATAAATCTTTTAAAAAATTTTTATTTATTTTTATGTGCATGTAATTGCACCCATGTCATGCAATGCCCACGGAGATCAGAAGAGGGTGTTGGATCTCTGGAACTGGTGTTATAGACAGATGTTAGCTGCCATGTGGGTACTGGGACTCAAAACTGGGTCCTCCACAAGAATAGTCAGTGCTGTTAACTGCTGAGCCATCTCTCCAGCCCCATAAATAAACCTTTTTTTTTTTTTTGGTCTTTTTGAGACAGGGTCTCCCTTTAGTCCCAGATGACCTGAACTCACTATGTAGACCAGGCTGGCCTTGAACTCTGCCTCCTGAGTGCTGGGATTAAAGGCGTGTGCCACCATGCCCAGCTATAAATAAATCTTTTAAAGAAAAAAAATTTGAATTTTTTTAAAAGTAAATAATTTTTAAAAAGTTGCTTTCGGGTGTCTGATAGGACAGCATTGCTCTGATGTCTCCACCTTGGTTCCTTTCACACTCATATCAACTTTGCAGTCAGCATGATTAACACCCCTACTTTAGAGATGAGCAAATTGAAGTCCTAGGAGATTAAGGAACAGGCCGGGGTCATGCATGGGGCTATGCAGTGGACACGTGGACTCCTGACAGATGATATCCTGGTTTTTTTTTGGTCTTTTTGAGACAGGGTCTCCCTGTAGCCCCACCTGGCCTGGAACTCACTATGTAGACCAGGCTGGCCTCAAACTCATAGAGATCCGCCTGCTTCTGCCTCCCAAGTGCTAGGATTTAAGGTGTGCACCACCACGCCTGGCTATTTTTATTTTTTAAAGAGTTTTTATGGTAGAGAAAAAAGTGGCCTTTTCATTATAAATATAAACCACATCTCTGCAATGAACAGCACATGCAAGATCTTGGTTAAGACAGATGAACGTGAAGGGTAGCTCCTGAGAAACAAACACCCAACAGTTAAGACAACTTCCAGCACAGAAAGATTTGACACAGCCTAGAATGACTAGGAACAGAGCCTCAGTGAGGAACTGTCTAGATCAGGTTGGCCTGTGGGCATGTCTGTGGAGGACTGCTTGATCTTCTTAATTGATGTGGGAAGACCCAGCCTGAAAGTGGGCAGCAGCATCCCCTGCTGGGTCTTGGGCTGTGTCAGAGGAGAAAGTGAGTGAGTACTGTGCATGCATGTGTTCACTCTCTGCTCTTGGCTGTGATGTGATTAGCTACCTCAAGGTCCTGCCTGGGCCTCCCATCCCTCCACCTCCACAATGATGGGCTGTAACCTGGAATTGTAAGTCAGGCAAACTTTCTCTTTTTTTAAAGAATTTCTTTTTTTTTTTTTTTTTTTCCTTCTGTCTTTTTGAGACAGTTTCTCCCTGTAGCTCCAGCTGTCCTGGAACTCACTATGTAGACCAGGCTGGCTCGAACTCACAAAGATCCATCTGCCTCTGCCTCCCAAGTTTTGGGACTACAGTGTGCACCACCATGCCCAGCTCAATTTGGGAGTCTTTTAGATAGACCCACTGAAGAGGTACTCCAATTGTCTCACCCTGCATCCCTGTTCAGCATGGAAGAAGCCAGAGCGGTCTGCATCCTGATTTCATATCGACAATTTGCAAAACCTCTTCAGAGGATGGTGTGATAAGAATAGGAGGTAGGGTAAAAAAGACCCCAAAGAAAAGTTTCATGAACTCCTGAGAAGAATGTGTATTCTGCAGTGTTTGAATGGAATGTTCTATAGATGCCTGTTATTTCCATTTAGAATTGTAATATCTTCTTAGCAGATTCTTTAATCAATAGAAAATGACCATCTTTATCTGTTCTGACTTGTTTTGTTGAAGTTTATTTTGTTAGATATTAGAACAGTGGCACTGCTTGTTTTTTAGTTCCAATTGCTTGGATCCTTTTTACGTCTTCCACCTGTGTTTTATGCTAAGGTCCATTTCATCTGTGTTTTAAGGTAAGGTCCATTTCTTGGAGGCAATGAATAGATGGATCCTGCCATTTAACTCATTGTGCTAGTCTGTGTCCTTTGATTGGGGTCTGGAGACCATTTGTATTTAGAGTTGTTGTTGAAAGACGTGTCTGTCTTTTTTTTTTTAGAATGTTTGTTTTTTTTTTTTTTTTTTCCTTCTGTCTTTTTGAGACAGTTTCTCCCTGTAGCTCCAGCTGTCCTGGAACTCACTATGTAGACCAGGCTGGCTCGAACTCACAAAGATCCATCTGCCTCTGCCTCCCAAGTTTTGGGATTAAAGGTGTGCGCCACCACGCCCAGCCCAAGAATTTCACTTTAAAAAAAAAAATTTTTATTTATTATTTTTATTTTATGTGTATGAGCCTATTGCCTGCATGTATGTGAGTGCACCTGTGTCATGCAGTGCCGAAGAGGGCTTCCGATTCCCCTGGAACTGGAGTTAAGGACGGTTCGTAGCCGCCATGTGGGTGCTGGGAATCGAACCAGGGTCCTCTACAAGAGCAGTCAGTGCTCTTAACCACTGAGCCATCTCTTCAGCTCCCAGAATTTCACTTAAAAGAAATTATTATGATTTTTATTTTATGTGTATGAGTGTATTGCCTGCATATATGTAAGTGCACCCGTGTCATGCAATGCTGCGGAGGTCAGAAGAGGGCTTCAGATTCCCCTGGAACTGGAGTTAAGGACAGTTCGTAGCTGCCATGTGGGTGCTGGGAATCAAACCCGAGTCCTCTGCAAGAACAGTCAGTGCTCTTAACCACTGAGCCATCTCTCCAGCCCCACTCCTTCTCTTTTAAGTTGCTTTTTTGTCAGGGTGTTTTATCATAACAGCAGAAATGAAACTAGAGTGCCAAGACAGAGCACAAAGCACAGTTTAAAATTATTGCCAAGCCAGACATGGTTACACAAGCATGTAATCCTGTACTTAGTGAGATCCTGGGTTAAAAAAAAAAAACAAAAAAAAAACAGGCCAGCCTGGTCAAGGTCTAGGCCAGCTAGGGCTACAGGGAGACTGTCTCAAAAAAACCAAAAATGAATGAATGAATGAATGAACTAATTAATTAATTAAAAGATCTGGGGATAGAGCACAGTAGTAGAACACTTGCTTAGCATATTTGAGACCCTAGATTCAATCCCCAGTACTGAAAGAAAACAAGATAAATGGGGCTGGAGCAATGGCTCAGCAGTTAAGAGCACTGGCAGCTCTTCTAGTACTCAGGTTCCATTCTCAGCACCCACATGGTGACTAGCAACAATGTATAACTCCAGTTCTAGGGGATCTGATGCCTTCTTCTGGTCTCCACATGCACTGCCAACTTATATACATGCAGGCAAAACACTCATACATATAAAAATAAAAATAGAAATAAACAAGATGAAAAGGGAGAAGGAGGAAGAGGAGGAGGGGGAAGAGGAAGGGGAAGAAGGAGCCCTTGAACATGGCTGGCAGCCTGTCTAGGTGGGCTGAGACCGGCTCTGGATTGCTGTTGGTATGCAGGCTTCAGAGCTGTGTTTATCCATGCTCTGCTTTATCTATACATCCCCTGATCCAGCTCTTCAGGCCTACCTCAGGATATGATGTCCCCTTCTAGCAACTTACCAGAAACCAGGAGTTGCCCTCAGCAACACCACTTTGCATCTGCCAGAGTTTAGTCATCTCATGAATCTCTCACCAGTACTGCCACACCCACCCAAGCCACAAGACTGAGTACACACAGCAACCTCCCCAGCACACCCTATGGTCCATTCTCCAAATAGCACAGCTGACTAAGTGAATCCTTAGCTTAAGCCTTTCCCTGGCTCCCCATTGTTCTCAGGACAAAGACAAAAATCTTCTTAGCGTGTCCTACTTAAGGAACTCGCCCATCTACTCATTCATTTCACCAGCTCAGTAAGCTTATCTGACTGTGAACTTCCGCCTCATGATTGTTAGATATATGTCCTCAGATGGACCCAGGCACAGAACAAATATCTTATTTTTCCCATATTAGACTCAAACACCAATGAACTGGCCCAAAGAACTCGTAAGGAGGAGGTGAAAGAACAGTGGTTTCTGCCTTCTCGAAGCCTTATTTAGACTGAGATACTTGGACAAGCAGATCAGGGTTCAAGTCCAGCCTGAAAAGCTTAGTGAGACTCTGTCTCAAAAATTAAAAGAAAAAAAAGAAAAAAGGCTGGACATATGGCGGTACATTCCTTTAATCCCCAAATCCCCAGCATTCAGCAGACAGAGGCAGGTGGATCTCTGTGAGATGGAGAGTCTGGTCTACATATTCAGTTCCATAAAAAGCTGGGCTTGATAACACAGGCCTTTAATCCCAGCACTCAGGAAGCAGAGGCAGGCAGATATCTGTGAGTTCGAGGCCAGCCTGGTCTGAGTAGTGAGTTCCAGCCAGCTGGGACTGTAGGAAGACCTTTAAAAAAAAAAAACCCCAAAACCCCAACCTTTTATGTGTGTGTCTTGACTACATGTATGTAAATGCACCTGTGTCATGCATTGCCTGTGGAGGCCAGAAGAAGGCATCGGATCCCCTGGAACTGGAGTTACAGATGGTTGTTAGTTTTTTTTGTGGGTGCTAGGAACCCAACCCACCTCCTCTGCAAGAACAGTCAATGCTCTTAACCACTGAGATGCCTCTCCAAGTCGACTTTTGCCTTCTTGATTGGTCATTTGGAGGTAAGAAAAGTGAAGAATTAAATACCAATAACTGTTAGTGTTCTTATGGTAATAGTATGCCTTTTGGATAGCTTGCATTCTGCCATGGAGGAACATCAGCATATAATAAGGTCACTGCAATGATTCAATGTACTAAAATTCAGCAGTCCCCCTCTTATCTGATAGGGATATGTTCAAGATCCTCAGTAGATGCTCCAAACTGTAAGCAGCCCAAGTCTTAAATATATTATATATTCTTAGAGGTTCCAGAACTTCTGATAGAAATAGTAAGAATCTTCCTTCCATTTTTCCTACAGTGATGTCTCATATCTTTCTTTTCTTTTTTTTTGTATTTTTATTATTTTTATTTTATGTGTATGAGTATATTGCCTGCATGTGAGTACACCCGTGTCATACAATGTTACGGAGGTCAGAAGAGGTCTTTGGATTCTCCTGGAACTGGAGTTAAGGACGGTTCGTAGGCTCGTAGCCGCCATGTGGGTGCTGGGAATCAAACCCAGGTCCTCTGCAAGAGCAGTCTGTGCTCTTAACCGCTGAGCTATCTCTCCAGCCCCATCTTTCTCTTTTCTAATGGCATTGGCCAGTATTTCAAGTTCTGTACTTCTTTTTTTTTTTTTCTCTCTTTTTCTTTTTGAGACAGGGTCTCCCTGTAGCCCCAGCTGGCCTGAATGCTGCTACATAGACCAGGCTGGCCTTGAACTTACAGCAATCCACCTGCCTCTGCCTCCTGAGTACTGGGATCAAAGGCATGTACCACCACACCCGGCTTCAAGTTCTGTACTTTCTAAGAATGTGTCCATGTATAAATTTCTGTAAGCCTAGGTTTCCCAGCCTTTAAGATGAGGATAACAGAACCTACCTCCTAGAGCTGGGGAATAGAAAGGTAAAACACACTGGTTTCTAACATTCAACTGTATATGCAAACCTATAACAAACTTTTTCCATTTTCACTCAAAGGAAGTACGTTCCAGATAGATACTCTTTCGCATACTGAGTTGTCAGCAGCAGACTATGGGCCTTGGAGCATCTATTAAGTAACACAGTTCACTTGAACACAAACTGCAATAGTGTCACTGTGGATTGCAGAGTCATGAAGGCCATAAAATGACAAATGGGCAGGTGGTGTAAAGAGCCTGGCTCTGGAAAAGACAAGATAATTCGTATCCCAAGCTGGACATGGGGAAACATAAGACTTCATCACAATGCCCAGAACAGCACTCAATTTAAAACTATTTCTCAAATTTTCTAAGAGATTCTGATTTAACTGAAGAGCCTCTTCTCCACACCTTGCCAGTACTGACAGGTGTGTCTGCTGCTTAGACTTCCATCTGGCAGAGGTCGCAATTATGATGCACTGAGATAGAGCTTTTCTCTTGGCTAAGGCCACATCCAGGAGAGAGGAGAGCCTCCCTATCCCGGCAGTTGGCCAGCCTGCCCTCAATCCTACTATGTTTCCACGTCCATTACGTAGTGGTAACAGGAGTATCAATGAGACTCACAGTTTCTTCATGATGGTCCTCTCTTCCTTGTCACTGGCGGCATTGCTGGTCCTGGTAACCACAGCTTTTTCTCTTCTTCCTCCTGGGGCTTCTCTTGGTGTAATCAGGCCACTGGGAAAAAAAGGGGGAGGGACACATGAATCAAT